GTAATTTATTCTTCAAATAAGTGCATTTGTTCTTGGATTGAGGACGTAAAAGATACATTTTGCCAATGGAACAAGACAATTTACACTTAAAATAAGAAAACACAACTGCATTGTCTTATTTAAAGTGAATATTATCTAATTATCTTATTTTAAAACTAAAAAGTCTCATTCCATTGGCAAACTACCTCATTTACATACTCAAAATAAGGGTAAATATGCTTAATTTAAGAAATATTTTACTTTTTTCTAGATCGTTTTTCCAGTGTAGAGGTTAGGGCATTGAGCTTGGAATCCAGAGGTTCTGAGTTTGAGCCTGACTCCCACTCTGGGTCTCTGAGCAAGACCCTTAAACCCTGATTGCTCCCCAGGGCGCCCGGGGAGCCCAAGGCCGTCCCCTTAGGGGATGGGTTAAATGCAGAGAGTTAATTTGGTTGCTTTGTACTTGTGATAGTGTAATGATAATAAAAATTGCTTACTTGTTGAACAATTAGCTACAATGATAAATCTATGCTATGAACAGTTCAAACAAAGTCCTATCAACATATAAATTTTTTATCCATCCATTTTCCGTCACGCTATATCCCAGCTGGGATCACGAGGGGTGCTGGTGCCTATCTCCATCTGTCTACGGGAGAGGCGGGGTACACCCTGGACAGATCGCCAATGCATCTCAGGCCAACACAGAGACCAACAGGACAAACAACCAATAACACACACACTCAAACCTGAGGAGAATTTAGAGAAGCCGATTGACCTAACAATCATGCTTTTGGACTGTGGGAGGAAGCCGGAATACCTGAGAAGAACCCACACATGCTCAGGGAGAACATGCAAACTCTATGCAGAAAGACTCCGGGCCGGGAATCGAACCCAAAACCTTCTGGCTGCAAGGCAGCAGTGCAACTCACTGTACCAGTGTACTGTGCCACTGTACTGTACTGAGCAGCTCTACATTTTTTATCTGTCTGTAAAGTTTTTTTCCTGGTTGTTTTTATCCCCAAACTTGAACCAAACCACTGAAGTCAGCATCTCTGGTCAAAGCATCATGGAAGAGGACCTTGCAATGGTTTCCAAGTCTTTCATGTTGCAGAACAACCATTGAAACTGAATTGCCAAACCTATTAATCTCCATCTCTTTTATGCCTATTAAATAAACTAATAATATGTAAGAAATGTTCTGTTAGACGATCAATAAGATCAATCAATCATACATTCATTTATTGATCCCAAATTTAAAAAAAAGAAATAGAAGGTACCTGAAAATACTCATTGACATTGTATAGTACCCTGTATAATTAGAAGAACAAATTGTCCAGATGGATAATTAATATTCCAACTCAATCCTGTTCCCAGTTAGGTTCAGAAATCCACCTGACAAACCAGCAGCATCAGCCCTACAGGAAGTTAGCACTGTAAACAGTTCAGAAATAGACAAAGCTTACTGAAGAGTTACATGCACTGATGCTTTTCAGCTACATTTAACTTCCAAGTAACACATCTGACACTGCCTGCTGGATAAAGTTAGAGCCTGGGGGGTATTTTTACATACAGCATCAAACATTTCCAGGATTTTATTTCCCACAGACTGTTAGTTTGCTTTGGCAGCAGCCAGACCAACTCTTATTGACTTTTCATCTGTTCAGATTTTTGTTTGTCTTTATTTTCAATATGTGGAACACATTTATTACCATATGTGAGGCTGACTGTGAGAGCATCACATAATGATCATAATCATTCTACTGTACTAACCCTTAATCAGAAACCTTCCGCAGTTATTGCATTCCTCTGGGCCTGTAGCTTTCTTTAAAAGCAAACATATGGCTGTTATCTTCAGATGTGTTGGAACTAATCAACAGAAAAGGAAAAGAAAAATAGCTATCAGTTACCACATGCCAAAATTGCATCAAATAAGGTTGAAGAAGATACGTTTGGTCTTAATGTGCGTCATAAGTAATTCAAATACAGATTAAGAGCACAAACACCCATTGGCGGTGTGATCGAATGATTATTGACATCAGGACTGATGCTGAATTTAGCATGATGTTTAGTTGCTATGCCAATCAGCAGAAGGTGAGCGTGTAACCGTGGCTTTAGTATCACTATGCAGTATGATAGGATCAGAGTTAACGCATGGGAAGAAATAATTAAATCTCACGACTGAGGTCACTGTTACTCTTTAGAAAAGGAAAGTTTCTATTGGCTTTTCTAAAAATAGCTAGAAGTCACTAAATGAAGTCATCACCTAATCTGCATATTTGGTATTGCTTTAATCCAACACTAGCAAAACAGAAATTGATCAGGAACATGCTAAATATTTTTAAAACTATAGACGAACTCTGTAAAATCCTTTAAGGGGTGATAGAATGATTCTATAGGGTATTTGGTGCTGGTCCTTAAGGTCTCTGAATAGGGTGTGTAACATTGGTTGGGCTGAAAATAGCATATTTGCTGTTCTATGAGCCCTAATGCAAGCCTGGTAAAAAGCCCTTGAATGAAACAACAGGTTTTCTTCCTTTTATGGTATGCTCATGAATATTTAGATGAGCTGAGGGCTGATTGGTTGGTTTACAACGAGCAAAGCTGCTGAGCAAAGACGCATCATAGCAACAATCACTCACTCACTGAAACATTGCGATTGTTGATATGGTAGAGTGACAAGACGTCCTCTTTTTCCCGGACATTTCCTACTTTTCATACCTAAAAAAATGTCTAGGGGGAATTTCAAAATTGTCTGAGTTTTTGTAGACTACAGTGCAGCAGAACCGAGCAGTGAGCTCCGAGGCTGGTCTGGGAACTCCGGCGGACAGGGGGAGGGAGCCAGCAGGGGACGAAGCGACCAAACCTGACCCGACAACGGCGGCCGCCTTTGTGATGGCCTTACGGGTGTAACAGCCCCTAGTTTCAGTAAAAGAAGTTTAGCAAATCCTGCTTTTAACTGTCCAAGATTTTGAAAGCTGTCTTCGGTAAAATGCTTAGAGGGTTCTTCTGATAGACACAAAAAATCCATGCCTTCGGATTCTAGGGAAGACTGTGAACATTTTTCACTTTCTCAGCTAAACTGGTGTCTTACATCTACCTCTATTCATGTTCTTGGGCCAGTGAACCAATGGGCTGGTCTGTATGTCAATTTCGGTGCGTGACAAAAGTACAGGCCTGAACCAAAAAAAGCAACATCCCCGAGTTGAGGTCAATTTGGGCTTTCATTTGGATTCACCTGTTTAATGGTGGAAGTTTAGAATTTTGATATTTGCAGAGAAAGGAGGAGATTTGCAGAGTTAGGAGGGTTTAAGCTTCTCTGTACGTCCATTTCACCCACTGAACTAAAGATATTCATCTATGACGGTTTTACATTCTATGACCCTTTAAAGGTTTTAATAATATTTTAGCTGAAGCAAAATGACGGAAATGGCCCCTGAGCACCCATTACTATTCATTCTCCATGTGCCTTGAAAGGTTTACTATGGGTGTTTTGATGGAGAAGAAATGGCACACGGCATGAAACTAACTCATCAGAATTGCCAACGTCCATTCAAAAACAATCAAAGTATCTGTCCACCACCTTCACGTCCTCTGCTGGCATGTTGCATTAACCCCCTATGTCTCTAGTCTTGCTTAATGGTCTCATATAACAACTTTGTTTTAGTTTACTAATCTAGAAGACAAACTCCGTTGATAATGCCATAGCAGCCTGGTTCTGCTGGAGGTTTCTTCCTGTTACAAAGGAGTTTTTCCTCTCCACTGTTGCTACAANCCTAGTTTCAGTAAAAGAAGTTTAGCAAATCCTGCTTTTAACTGTCCAAGATTTTGAAAGCTGTCTTCGGTAAAATGCTTAGAGGGTTCTTCTGATAGACACAAAAAATCCATGCCTGTCGAGTCTTCGGATTCTAGGGAAGACTGTGAAAATTTTTCACTTTCTCCGTGCAGCCTGCAACTCTGCATTTACACCTCTGGTTCTGCCTCATTTTCAATAGAGAAACTGCCTGCTTTGTAATTCTTGTAGAAATAAACCCAACTGTAGGCTAAACAGCTAAACTGGTGTCTTACATCTACCTCTATTCATGTTCTTGGGCCAGTGAACCAATGGGCTGGTCTGTATGTCAATTTCGGGGCGTGACAAAAGTACAGGCCAGAACCAAAAAAAGCAACATCCCCGAGTTGAGGTCAATTTGGGCTTTCATTTGGATTCACCTGTTTAATGGTGGAAGTTTAGAATTTTGATATTTGCAGAGAAAGGAGGAGATTTGCAGAGTTAGGAGGGTTTAAGCTTCTCTGTACGTCCATTTCACCCACTGAACTAAAGATATTCATCTATGACGGTTTTACATTCTATGACCCTTTAAAGGTTTTAATAATATTTTAGCTGAAGCAAAATGACGGAAATGGCCCCTGAGCACCCATTACTATTCATTCTCCATGTGCCTTGAAAGGTTTACTATGGGTGTTTTGATGGAGAAGAAATGGCACACGGCATGAAACTAACTCATCAGAATTGCCAACGTCCATTCAAAAACAATCAAAGTATCTGTCCACCACCTTCACGTCCTCTGCTGGCATGTTGCATTAACCCCCTATGTCTCTAGTCTTGCTTAATGGTCTCATATAACAACTTTGTTTTAGTTTACTAATCTAGAAGACAAACTCCGTTGATAATGCCATAGCAGCCTGGTTCTGCTGGAGGTTTCTTCCTGTTACAAAGGAGTTTTTCCTCTCCACTGTTGCTACAAACATTCTCAGTGTGAGAGATTACCTTCGAGTCCACGAGTCGATGCAATCAACTGGTTTTCCTTAGATAGAAAACTTTGAATAAATTTGACTGAATAATCTGCTAAAATCGTAAAGTGTCTTGAGATTACATGTGTTGTGAAATGGTGCTATATAAATAAACTGAATTGAATAGCAGTGTGGGAAATAAAGGAACTTGGCCCAAGAAGTATAAAATATGTCTAAAGGTCATCACAATATGTGCGCAGACCTTGCAAGTATGTCGGAGCCTATAGCTGTTGTAGGGACACATACTTGGCCGTGTCAGCTTTGTAGAAAGCCAGTCATCAACCGGGTGGAAATCTTGTTGTGTTTGAAGAAAGTTGTTCAAAATTAAAATCTCAGAAACCATATGGAGCATTTCTTTGTGGAAGAGTTTAACCAAAGATTTCCCAAGTTTAGCTGCTGTCGATTTTCAATTACAACAATTTGTTAATGCAAGAATGAAGTGATTTCACTATTAATTGATTAAGACAAAGCAGCAGTTTGATGCATGCAGCTTACAACAGTGAAACAGTGAAATGAACATTACTGTTTATAAAGTGTAGCAGTGATCAGAATGTAAAGAGTGTAGGAGAAAAGGAATCCCATTTAAAAATCACGGTGCAAAAGGCATATGGAAAGGTTCAGAGCAGTGGAGAATAAATAAATATGATGCAAAATGCAGTAGAACATTAAGTTGTGTTCTATTTAAAGGGATTATTAAAAAAATCAGCCATGTTGGTAGTGAAAATATGTATATTTTTTAAGTGAGATGCAGAGTACAGTTTAGTGTTCAACAGTTTAGTAGTCTGATGTCAGCGAGGAAAAAGCTGTTACAGAATCTGCTGGACTTGCATTGAATTCGGCAAAGCTTCTTCTGCAGGGAGAACAGTCCATGGTGGAAGTGTGAGTCGTCAGTGATGATGTTATGGTTTTCTGAACACACAGTGCTGGGATGAAATGTTTTTAAAGGGAAGTCATATTTAAATGTCAATTCATTCTGGCTTAAACATTTTTATCAGATGATATTGTCCCAAAAGTTAGAAAATTTCAGTCTTAAAATCTGTTTTTTTCCCCCGTTATTTTATGCAGGCCAGTTAGTCATACGTCAGCTTGTACACCTAAATTCAGCCAATCATATATCATCTGTTAATCAAATTTTGTTTCGGTCATAGCATCTTCATTCATTTGTTTCAGCTAATATACGCAACGGTTGAAATAAGAAATAAGAATAATTAAATTAATCATTGAGTTCCGTCCCAGTGTTCACAGGGATGGACGTCTGTGTCTTCGGCAGGCGTAGAGCTAACAGAACTGGCAGCGTTGCGAGGCAAGGGCTCAAACATGTACGGCTGTAAGCCTTCTACACCAAACCAAGCTTCGGCCGCCCTGGCGTCCTCTTCCACAACAACTTTGTCCCCACTTTCCTCCTCTAAAAAAAAATGTTTGACGGAGGATACTCATCTACGACCTCCGGCATTCCTTGAAAGTGTCGCCTCTAAGTGCTACTTGGTCCCAATGTAATTTCCTATTGGGAACCTACTAGCACTAAGTTGCTAACTGGTTAGGAAGATGCTTCCGACAAATGGCCACAACCAAACTTGCTTGCGAATCCTCCGCAACAACTATCCCACCCTATTGATAAACAACCAATCACATTCACATTATTCACTCATGTAAAGTCGTGCACCACTCGGGAGAATTCGTAAATGTAACAGCCGCTTCCCTATGACTTTAATGGCGTTAAGAGGAGCCCCGATGATCCTCTCTGCTGTTCTCACCACTCTTCTCATGTTCTTCCAGTCTGAGGCTCAGTCAAATGCACATTTCTTCAAAAGCTATAAAAGAAATCAGCTATAAAATCCAGCTAGACCTGGTGCAAATTTACAATTCGTCCTCTAATTAAATCTGCTTTACTTACGCATAATAGCCATCGATATCAAAGCTTACTTATAAATAGTTGTTTAATGTATAACTATCCATCTATCATTATGACTTTTTAAATCTGTTCCTTGTTTTTCTTAAGGTACGTCAGCGCAACGAGCTTGGCATCTACCTAATCAACCTGTCGGTGGCCGACCTCCTCTACATCATCACTCTCCCTCTATGGATCGACTACTTCCTGCAGCACGATCACTGGATTCATGGACAAGAGAGCTGCAAGCTGTTCGGCTTTATTTTCTACACAAATATTTACGTCAGCATCGCCTTCCTGTGCTGTATATCTCTGGACAGGTACCTGGCGGTGGCATACCCCCTACGCTTTGTTAAGGTTCGCCGAATCAAGACAGGTAGGTTTCTCTTATGTAAAACCATCTTTTGTCGTCTGTGACTATTTACTGAGACAAGATATCTGAAAAAGTGACCTAATTAGTCCAACACTAACATTTTTTTAAGTTTTTTTTTTCATATTTAATTGCCTAAATGATTAAATTTAAGAGAACTTTAAGAAAACAGTGGTGTCTTTCCCAAGCCTTACAGGAAAATCAGTTAAAGAAGAGATAAGATCACTTTCATGTAAGAGATTAAAGAGCTCTACATTAAAAAGAAGTCTGCTAAAGTCATTCGTGGAATGACTCAGATCTTAAGCCAAGCTCATTACTAAAGCCCAAGAGTAAAAATGTCAAAGCTGTGTTGACAGTATTTCATATCTATAAATAATTAAGGACTTATGGGAAAGTAAAGTGAAGAACTTCAGAATCAGGTGACGGCTAATCTAAGATGCAAGACAGAGAGGAGCATAGATTAAAAATAATACAATAAAACAAGATTTCAGTGAAAAAATATCATTACTTTAAACAGTATGTGAAGGGGAATAATGAAGAAAATATGCCATTTTGTTCCTTAGCAAAGTAGGATAATCTAGACAAATACATTGAAATGAAAAATAACATTTTTTAGATTGCATCACATTGGATCATCTGGATTATCTTATATCTTAAATTGTTTCAGGTTATTTAGAGCAGAGAGAAACAACTTCATGTTATTTTAAAAGTAGGAATCTGAGAAAACACAGATCCCTGCCTCTCCGCCTATGACCTTAGTTTTATCTACATTAAGTATATTAAGAAATAACTGTCCCCACCACCTAAAAATAACATAGATGGTTTTCTATCAATGCAGGACAGACAAAAACTGATGCATACCGTACTTTTATTTTGGTGGGTTAAAAAAATAATAAAAAATGCTCCTAATGTCATGATGGGTTTTCTTTAGTTAAAGCCCAAGATGCAGAACACTCACAGAGGCACTGGTAAAAGTCCAAGGAGTTTTATTTAAGACAAAGCACAGGAAATTAACAGGAACAGTTCAGTCCGGGGGGCTTGTTCACTGGGGTCTAAGCAGGGAAAGGGAGATG